CGCGTCGCACTCTTATTTTTTTTTGCGCCCCCCCCCCCCCCCGATCTTTTTGCCTTGAAGGGATTTTTAACAGTGAGGTTACCTCCTGCTGTAAAGGGACAGGATCACTCTCTGAAATAATCTGCCTAACTGTTAGGAGCTGGCTTTTGTCAAACATGCACGGAATGCTGACACACACTACTGAAAATCCCACCTTTTCCAATCTGTTTTGGTTATTTGTAGGACAACAGAAAAAACATTGTAGGACAAAAGTGGATTTTTTTTTTTTTTTAATTTTGGTTCAGAGGGACAGAAAATATATTCTTATAAATGCAAGAATTGCTGGAGTTCTTCCTGCTTTCAGCTTGGGAGATGATCTGTGCTAGTTATTTACAGCAATGTAACAGACATCAAAATCTGTCCTGTATACCCAAATCCCTTCTCTGTTTTGTTTTTTCTTTAAATTTTAAATAAATGTGCAGGAATTTATAGTTTACTTCACTGTTACAAACCCCAATAGTATTTAGGAGTAACTGCTCACAATACAGAAGGACTGGACTCCACAAGTTATAGTATGGTGAGCTGTTGCTTTAGAATACTGCCCTGTTTGATTTTTTTTTTTTCCACCTGGGTTGTCTTTATTATTACTCTTTTTTTCCAAAATATCTATTTTTATGCATTTGTGACTCCCATTACTCCTTTAAAGAATATTCATTTAAAAATAAACATTTAAATATACATAGAAATATATATATTAAAAAGCGGGTTGATCCAATTAACATAATGCTGTCAGCTTAAAATGTTTATTTTTATGCAAAACCTGTGGATTATTGTTTTTTTTTAAAAAAAAAAAGACAAGATTCTAAGTACCAGAGCTATGATTTTTTGTCTTGCAAGTAATTGTTCTAGAGCATTTAGAAAGCTGTGCTGATACCTAATTTATTGTGGGTTTTTTTTCTGTTGTTGTTGTTGTTGTCTTCTGCTGTGTTTGAACCAGATGACTGTCCCAACAAAGATCATTGTAAGGCCTTTTCATTTTATTGAGCTTGCAAAGCAACTATCCAGTACTGTATTGTCCCTGCAGAAAGTGGTAACACTCTGCAAAAAAGGGATGTTGTTTTCAGGTCACGTGAGTGATGCTCAAATATTGCTAGCGGGGAGGACGTTGCGTCTCTCTCCATTTGCTTCCCCGCAACCCAAAAATCCCAACCCCCAAACCCCTTTGCTTAGAGCAGGTGGGGTGGGGTACCTGGATCTTGCATTGCTCACAAGTAAGCGGTGTCAGCACATCTCAGTCAAATGCAGGATCGGACCCACAGTTTATAAATTGCCTTATATGAGAGTAGGATGGCATAGCAGGAAGCTTGTAGATGGCAATGTTTTTTGGAGCTAGGAGATCTCTTATCTCCTGGGTGATGTTCAGCCCATTGTAAACAGCCACAACTCCTCCCATATTCAGTATTTTTACATCTGCTAAGTACCTTGACTCTGGTTGGTATTACCTGGTGAAATGAACTTCCCATTTTCTTTGGCTTAGGACTGATTCAAATAGAAAGAGGGACAGTAAGCTCCCAAGTAGGCTGTGCCCACAGTGGTTTTTCAGTTTGCGGGCTGAACTGAAAAATCTGGGGAAAAAGCTTGTAAGGGTGACCTGAAATTGAAGGGTGACCTGAGACTTTTTTTTTTTTTTTTCCATTTTCTCAGTGGAATGAAAAAGGGAAAAATTGAAACATTGGAAAAACATTCTTTCAAACCAAAATGAAGCATTCATTTGTAGGGTTGTTTTTTCACTTTTTTAAAAACATAATGACTTAGGCTATAACAAGCTGCTTTGAAGCAAAAATGTGAATCCTTCTGTTTTGAAAATGCTGAAAGAAAATGTTTTAATGTTTATAATAGTCTTTTTGCCTTTGCCTTTTTTTCTTAAGCTGATGACTGGTTTCAGTTAACCCTAAATTGCATTTTTTGGTGAATACATTATCCACTGAAGAGAACCCAAAGAAGCCTATTGCCCAGTTCTGCTCCACTGACAGGTACACTGGACACATTTCAGGGATTACCTGGTATCTGGCCCAGCAAAGCTGCTGTTTCCCCATCTAATAATCTTCCACTTGATTGTTTTACTGGGTGAACAATAAAAGCATCTCTCATCCCATGCCATTGACTGGTTTTGTAGCCTGGCTTAGAAGGATATTCTTGCTCTATTGGCCTCAGTTTGGTCAGAGATTTACGGCTATAGGTTTATGATGCTACTCCAATTTGAGCCTAATCCCCCTGTGCAGTGGGAATTATCATTTGCCCAACTGATAAGAAAGAAGTAAGGCATTGCTTTTCCTCTCTTTTTCTATCTTAGCAATGTCAGTAGTATATCTTTACTAGATGGAATTAGGGAAAGGTCCCAGGGTAAAGACGAATGTGTTGTTCCAGGCGAGACTCCTGCATACTCTGTGCTACTTTCCATGGGCATTCCTCAGCTGTCTGCTTTTACCACCTTTGCGTTTCTCGGCTGTGAAGGTGATGCAGTAAAAGGGATTGTGCAGGCTCTGTTCCAGCTGCTCAGAGCTAGTCCTGCTTTGTGACCTGTTTGCCACAATCCTTGAAGCTTTGTTCGCAGTTGCAGAACCCTTTCCTGTCCCACTATCCAAAGACCGTGGCCAAGGCAACCGCCCACAAGTCAAAGGGGTCTCTTTTTTTATGACCTGGAGCAGATGTGAGGGCTCCATATTCTGCCTGGAATTGGGATGCCAGCTCAGTTAAGTTTTGCAACAGCCTCTTGAAGGGAAAAGGCCTAAGGCTAAGGAGATGCTGGGGGAGGATGGAGGGGTGATATATTGATTTTGAATTGATGTGCTGACTTCCTCACCTCTAGGTTCCAGGGAGGTCCAGAACCTCTTTATTTAGGGCTGAGAACAAAATGTGAGTGGTCAAGATGTGTGTGTTCAATACGATAACAGGCATCTCTCTCCTGTGAAGGACACTGAGTTCAGAGTTTCTTCTTTCCTCCTCTGTGCCAGACGGACTGAATGCTCTCTGCCACTATTGCAGATGTTTTGGATGCTGTGCAGTCCGTACCACAAAACAGTGAATGTCCTTGGCTGGAGGACTCAGGGTTGTCTCTCTCAGCCCTTTCTAGGAAGAGCTACTGATCTTCCACAGCCAAGGCCTGTGTGCTTCTAACACGGTAGCCTCTGATTTTAGTAGCCTCTCTGTCTTTCAGCATCTGGCCCCACTCTCCAGCTCCTCCTGCTTCCCAGCCTCTCCCATGCTCTTTGAGGATGACGGTAGCGTAGGGCACTTCCCACCAGCCTAAAGCGCAAAGCTAGAAGATGCACAAATGTGTCCATCAGCCAATCCTACACAGTGCAGCTTGATAATGCTGATATCGGGAAAACAAGCAGCAGCTTTTCTTCTCTGGGCTGACACAGGGAGGCTATTCCTTGCCACACAGGTACCATCACACCTGGCACAGCTGCAGACACCTCTCTGCTTGCATGCTCTGGCTTAGACATTTCTGAGTAGCAAACTCCTGACGGAAGGGGGTCCTGTGTGGTGCCCAGAGCTGGATTGTGCTACCAGCCCTTGTGAAGCCTGGGGTCTGTAGCTGACACATGGGGGCTGAGAATTAGAAGGCTATTTCAGAAATCTTGTTTATGAAACTAAATGGAGAAGCTACAGCTGTGAAGACTGGTCTGTATGAACTTGTACTTTGATGTGTCTTATGGCTATGATTCCTTCACCTGTTTTTACAGCGTATTCTGCTAATCCTGTCCCTAGTCTGCATTTCATGTAGATGGTCCCTACTTGAAACTTGCCAGATGCAGTCCTGGGCCTATTGCTTCTCTTTAACTGAATCAAATGGCAACGACTTTGGCGATGTATCGGCAATCTCTTTTCCTTCTGTTATTTCAGTCTCTGAGTTTAACCACAATGACCTGAGAAATGTTTGGGTTTTGAGTGTTTTTTTTAATTATTTTAATTTTTGTTTTGTTTAAACAAAGCTGAACAATTCCCATTGTATTCAGAGCTGTGACACCCAGTTCCAGTGACAAGTACTAGATGGATTTGTCCCGTTTTGTTTCTTGGCGATGTTCAGAAATATAATTTGTGTCATCCTAAATCC